TGGCGAAACCTTAAACCCCCACAACCCTTACTCAAGCTAAGTTTTCAGAAGCTGTGGCCAGCACCGCACTTTATGGATTCAGGCTTCGAGCTAGAAGGGTTTAGAGTGCAGGGTTTGGGGTCCAGGGTTTGGGGTTCAGGGTTTAGGGTTCAGGGTTTAAGGTTGAGAGGTTTAGGGTTCAGGGCTTCGGGGGTAAGAGTCTAAGGTTTAGGGTTCAGGGAACGTGGGGAAACCCACCAACTCGTGATGGTTTGGGTCCTAGGGCCCCAGCATGTTTAGAAACTTCTATATGCAGGCCCTGCACTCCCACCACAATGAAAGAACCACACGATTTAGAGTTCAGGCTTCCGGGTTTGGGGTTCAGGGCTTGAGGGGTGTAGTTAGGGGTTTAAGGTTTGGGGTCTGTTTTGGGTCAGGACTGACATTCTCCCTCAAACAAGCCTTGTCCAGAATCCTGCGCTCTCCAACGCACAGCCCTGAAACTCTCAGACCCTCGACCCTAAACGCTGAGCCCACATCCTAATCCCAGACCCTGAACCCTGAAACCCTCATCCTTTTGGCCCTTACACACCAGAACCTGAAAGCTTAAATCTTAATCAAAATTCTAAACCAGAAGCATCCAACCCTCCGGTAGCCTTTCCCGGCTCTTGCCCAAGTTAAGCATGGGCTCCACAGTGAACACCTGGTTCGCTAACCTAGCTGGTAAGTTTCCTAAGCTGGTAAGTATATAGGCGGGGGTGCACATTGCCCAAAAGGTCAAAGCGCTTCCTTGTCTGAAGAATGCTCCCGGCATATGCACATGGGACACTCTATGCACAGCATGCATTAACTAAACACTCCAGACCCTCAACTCGGGTGGATAGGGTTTTGGGTTTAGGGTTTAGGGTTTAGGCTTTAGGGTTTAGGGACCAGGAAATGATACAGACATGCGCAATGCATATCTCAAGGATCAAGGACCGAGCCCCAGGGATAGAGGTAAACCTTAGTAACTCTGATACCGCGTTTCCAGACAGGAGCGGCGGACGGAGGCAGAGGGCGGGAACTACCTTATTATAGCCCAAAGGCATATGATGGTTGTCCAACAAGCTACTAAGCTAGCATCCAAAGACCTGGGATCCCATGGGCCACAGGGTTGAGGATTTAGGGTTTCAAGTTTGGCCCAAGGGTATTACGGATTGCGGAATTTGAAGTGGCGCAAGATTTCTTCCATCCACGATCTAGATATTTGAGCACCTAGGGCTTTTTGGGCGTTTCAAACATGGAGGCTTGATGGTCGGGGGTTTTCAAATCAAAGGTTCCAGGGCTTTGGATCTATGGCTTGGGATTTGCACATGGTATGACAGTTTAGAGGATGTGCGGATTGAAGGGTGGGTTTCAAAATTGCGCGTTGGGTTTGGGACTATGTGAGCTATAATCTAAACTCCTAGTATGCCCCTTAGTAATCCCTTCAGTAGTGCCCGATATAACCCCTTTCTATATAACCCCTGCAAGAGGTGTAGACCCTAGCTCGTGTGTTGCTGCACAGTCTACTGGGAGCGGTGCGGTACACATGACCGAGGGGCACAGCAAGCAAGAAGAATACGGCGCAACATCACTCATGGGCGGGAGTCTCTGCAACGAACCACGGGCTGTTGATGGAGGATAACGCCGATATTGCTGTAGATTACAGTCCCAATAAGGATAGAATCACATGGCCAGGAGCAGGAGGAACACTAAGAGCGCAGAAAAAACTCAGAGATCTTCCAGCATGCTTGCTCTGCCCCAGACCCAAAAAGCTAAATCTGAAAGCCCAAAAATAATGGTAACCTTGTTCTTAATGTTCAGCTTCAATAAGGAGACCCCAAAATTAATAAGGGAGAAACGGTACGACTGCGGTAGCTAGTCAACCTTGGCCCCGACCCCCTCCCCCTCCCACAAAATGAAATGGACGGACCTCTGCAACCTGAACCTTCAAGCTCAAACCCATTTTATCATAGGATCCTATGCTACACCCCCCCCCCCCTACCTCCCCCCCTAATGAAGCGCTATTTCGGGTCGATTTAGGGGAGGGCAGGGGGAGCCGGGGGAGATAAAGTATAGGAGCATCTAGGATGTAAACCCCCAATCTATGGCTTAGTGGAGAGGGACCCGTGATTAATAAACCCATCTTTTTAAGGGCCTTAATAATTATTAGGATCCCCATTATAATCCCTATTTAGGGGCGGTTTATTCATCAGGGGTCTACATTAACCTAGACCCCCCAAGTACCCTCTATAGACCCCAGGTATCCCTAAATAGAAGCTACATAGACCCTATTGTAGGGTACTTGGGGGGTCTACATTAAACCCCAAACCTTGAGCTTCAGGGCCCGACGTGACCAGTCTTCATGATGCCTACCGCCTTGTTCTTCTTGAAGTGCGGTATCTGCAGTCCAAGGGACCAAGGGATGTAAGGAAACGGGGCTTATAGGGGATGCATGTATATATATATATAATGTGTATATATATATACATATGTCTCTCTCTCTCTCTCTCTCTTTCTCTCTCTCTCTTTCTCCAAGGTTTAGGGTTTAGGGCCTAGAGTACGGACTAGGGACACTTGTCAATCATGTTTGGTGCGGGGATGTAGCGGTCCAGGGCCGGATAATTGACGACTACTGACTACAAAAATCGTTCGGTACTGACTTCCTTCCAGCCCCCTCCCAATCCCGAAGAAGACACCTCGGTTCCTTTTGAAGCGAATTCGTTGAGGTGAACCACTGTCCTTCTGAAGGGTGCCCATATGGGTTTCCGTATTAGTTTTGAAAGGGAGGACGCCCTACTGTGAACTCTGATCCCCGAACCCTGTACTCTAACCTCTGTGCTAAGAACCGGGCATCCGGAGGCCCATGGAAGAGCCGCCCGACACCGTGCCCACAAAAGGCAGTCCTTTGACAGCTTAGCGTTCAGGTTCAGGATCTTCGTGCTCTAGATAAATTGTTTAGGCTTCAAAGGTTTAGGGGTTAGGGTTGCAAGGGTTTAGGGTTTCCCTTGAGGGTCCAAGGACCCAAATAATGGGGTTTGAGGGCCCAAAGACTAGTAATATTAGAGTATTCAGGCCCTAAAGCACTATCATTTGGGTCCTTGGGCCCTTAGGGTTAGGGTCCCTAAGCCCCAAACCCTGAACTCTGAACCCTGGGTGTTTTGGGAACTCACGGTCCAATGCTTCAGGGTGAGGCTGCAAAGGGTTGGGATTGGGGTCGAGGCTTGAGAGCTGGAGTTTTTGAAGTGTGTCATTGTGTGATATATGCGGCTTAGGGTTTAGGGTGAAGGGGAAAATGTACGTATGTACGCACAGGGGTGGGTAGTGCCAGGAGTATATAGGGCCTGATTGGAAGATGGTTTCAGCTGCGTGGGCTTTATTAACATGCACACTGCATACAAACATGCCTACATCACAGACGATATCCCTAAGCCATACCATGAGCTTGAGGTTTGTCCGAACAAGGGGTTGTGTTGTGACGCCTCCGGGCTTTCACATGAAAACTTCTGTAAGGAGAGTCTCACTTTCCCAGAAGGTCCAGGTACCTATATGGCACATACTTGGGGCCCAAAGCCATTCCCATATAACCACTTCAGGGACCGAGCATGTACTATAGGAGCCATAGTCTACACTGATGTATCCTCCAGTAATCTACTATATAATCCCATACATAACACCCCTGGACGATAGCTCGGACCCTTTGACTTTCTTGTCACTCGTTTCTGAGCTACCGGTAGTAAGGGTATAGAGTTTAATGCAGGATTAAGATAGTACCCCCCCCGAAACACCACCCCTCAATATTTAGACCTCAGAAAACCTTGGGGGGGGTACCCTTGAGGCGTACTATTGTAACCCCGTATTTAAAATTCAGGGTCGCCGAACGACAAGGCAGGACTCGAGGATTCCTGCAGAACTAACATTGAAGCCCTATGCAGATCCCACTTGTACTCCGACCTTTGTGGGACTCCCTGTTAGCTGGGCTTCGAAGTTGACTGTGTGGAGTTTGGGCATACTTGGAGGTTCGTAGTGCGTAGAAGTATCAAAACACCTCCTCCGGAAATGGCCTCATGGAGGCTACTCCGAATAGACGCATGGTTATAACTTATATAACCCGGGTTAAAAGTGGTTTCTTAGTTGCATGAGCGCGTTGGGCTTACAGCGAGGGGCTTTTATCAGGAACGTAACCCGAACGTTCCTACATACATGAGCTCTTGCCTATTCAAAAGGGCTATATATGGAAGTTGATTTGAAGGTCCCCAGGGGAAATCATTTAGGGGGGTCACAACGCAGTAATTGCAACCGGCAAGACAACAAACAGACTAAGCCTCAAAAAAATGTCCTCAACTGGAATGCCTAAACCCGAAACCACACGTGCGGGATCCACCAGTGTTGACCAATGCATTCGGGACCGCGTGCCAGTTCCTGCTGAGATGCCTGACCCTCAAAGGGTGCAAAGTTTCGGGCTCTGTCCCAACACGGACACACAAAATCCTATTATTCTAAATGTATACTCAATCCGCGTAGAACAATATCTCTCCTACAATCGCGAGTTGTGGTAGACTGAGCTCGCTGCACAACCGAGCAGCCGTTCTTGACTGCCTCTCGCAGGGGCAAGGGCCGCCAGCATGTATGTGCATGGGAATATGCAAGAACATGTTCCACAACCAAAACTGGGTTGCTGTTGAGGAACTCAGACGAAGTTACAATGATGTTAATTACTCAATATATACGTCCATAATGGAAATTGAAATAAAGTTCCTTAATAACAGCAACCCAGAAAGCGAGGGCCCATGCCATGCATTGCACCTTGCCTGGAGACACCTCTAATTCGACGAAAAATGCTTCAATTCCTCAAAAGCAGGCACAACAACACAAAACATAAAACATCGCTAACATGGTGTGTCATGGTAGCGACACGCTTTTGTCCGTCTCATAGCCTGATCATCTAGGATGTTCCCCTGAAAGCAGGTGCCAGTGGCCTACAGGGCACATGCAGCGACCTAGCATCCCAGCGAGAGGGCAGCTTCCGCATGGGCCCTCAAGTCACGGAAGTCAGCATGTTTATGCTGTTGCTGCGCCTTGAGTACTGCCTGCTCTGCGGAGTAGCCGCGGATTTTTCTGCCATGCTCAGCAGCTCGAAGCTTGAGCTCTTTGACTGCGAGCCTCGCCTCAGTATTATGCTTAAAGCCGTTTCTGGGATATCCTGCGTGAAAGCCTTGTGGATAGTAGTCGGCGGCAAAGGGCACGAGATCCATGGATGCCTGACCCTCGCCCCGGGCCTTGTGGATGCGCGGGTTGCTTGTGTCCACATCAAGACCTTGACTGTGAAGCTGCTGCGTCAAGTTCGCACGGTCCTCTGCTGTCCAGGGCCTGCTGTGGATGATCTTGACCTGAGTGTACCAGGAGATGTGTTCATGGCAGCATGTCCGAGATTATCGATATACTCCTTTAAACTTCATGCATGAGGTAGCTAAAGGTCACACGCACGAAAACAAAGTACACAAAACGGGAGTACCAATGAACAACCCAATGACATCTTGGTCAGCCCCGGCTAAGTTGGTCTTCTTCAGTCGTGACCCGCCCAACTCGACCCTGGCTTGCGCATGGACTGCCTTGACTGCCGCCTCAACCTTTACCATGTTCCTTCCTTGAGCCGCTCGCTCTGACGTGGTTTCACGGCTCGCGAGGTTGAGGATGTGCTGCCTCTGTCCTCTGTCGCGTTTATCCTCAACAATCTTCATCCAGTCGGCTGGCCTTTCTGCCAGACCGCGTGCTCGGTGGTAGAGCCGATTATTGGGGTTCATCTCATTCGATCTCTGATTATTGGCCGCACTTGCCCCGACCCTGGCCGCCTGCACCTTGCTTGGTGCTTGCTTCTGGGGCGGAGGCATGTTGACTCCCAAGCTTCAACCGGACAATCGGCCTGTGAGGCCTTGAGCCAGGAGCTGCGCATCAGGGCAAAGACAGCAAGCACTTGCATGGAGGCGTGTAGCAGTCTGATTTCAGCGAACAAGACAACAGATCTCATGCAGATCCTGGAGGGTCCACGTATCTACAGAAGTACCACACGTATCTACAGAAGTACTACGGAGGCTTGATAACTACTATGTTCATGCCTGGACGTCTTGGGGATGTAGAAGACGGGCACATTCATGTTCCAGGTGCTAAGGCATGCTGTTCATCAGTCAGCTTTAGAATAGGGTTTAGGGTGCCCACTCCAAGCAGGCAACCCCATGCTGGCATATACCCTACTTTGAGGGAACCTGAGGTTTTCCACTTGCACGTAGGTTCCCTAAACCAATACCTGGACTATGTAGAATTAAAGCCTTTGGGCTGTTTTTAGGGGTTTAGGGCCATTATTTTACATGCTTTTGGTGTTTAGGTAGTAACCTCAGCGACCCACAAAGTGGGCCTCGAAGACTCAACCAGACCGGGAAGTTACCCAGAAGCTAGGTATATATTACAAGGCACTCGTAACTATCTTTTCCATGGACTCTCCCCTTTGTGGCAAATTAAGGTTCAGTTCCTCGTACATGACGATCCGTGTTCACAACTTGCATGTTCTTGAGCTCTATAAGGCCAAGCAAAGCTTGTCAAGCCAAGTTTAGTATTTCACATGAGCTACAGCCAACGTTTCCTACCTAACTTACTTGACATGGGTTCTTTGTGAAGGATTCTATGTGGGGCCATACTAAACGAAAAGACGGACCCCTATGTCCACTGCTAAGGCTCCCTTTATAAGGCTCACATTGGCCGTAGCTCACATGAGCTATAATCTAAATAAACTCCTAGTATCCCCCTTAATAACCCCTGTAGTAGTCCCCTATATAATCCCCTAAATAACCCCCTTGAAGGAGTTAAGATCCTAAACCCTAAACCCCAAACCCTACATAATCCCCCATATAACCCCCTTTAAGGAGCTTAGACTGTAGCGCACATAGAGTTGAAGAAGGACTCTGCGCTGAGCCTGATACTTCGCTGGACCATGTTGTAAATGACATTTTCCAACATTAGGGTTTAGGGTTAGGGTCTAGGGTTAGGGTTTAGGGTTTAGGGTTTATGGTTTAGGGTTTAGGCTGGAAAACACTCAAGTTAAAGGCAGGTTGTAATTGTAACCTATAGCCCTATGCTCCCTATGCTCATGCTTGCCTCTTTCCTGCGCTTACTGCCTCTACTCCATTTAGGGTTTAGGGTTTAGGGTTCCCTGGCACCTCAGCTTCAATGACACCGCCCAGCTGCCGATAGAGTGTGCCTCAGCAGCATGTGGGGATTCTCGGACGTTGCCCCATGTACTGCTTTAGGGGTTAGGGGGACCTATAATCATCATCGCCTTCTATACAACCCAAATATAGTCCTACAGTTTCTGGGGGCACCCCTCAGAAACCACCTGTCGGGAAGCTTGCTGTTCCAGAGCGGACGTAGGAGGCTTCTACAGCTTGTGAAGCACATAACCCTGCTTATCCCCACCTGGAGGTTCCACTTAGGGTCCCAAAATTAGGGGTACTTTATGGGGGAGCCCTAGAATAAGGACTATCCTATTTTGGGATCTATTGAGGTCCTCCTATTCAGAAAAAATGCCACCTATAACCCAAGCACAGGACCAAGTTAATTACAATTAGAGGGCTGCCGGCTGTAGGGCTTACGGTTGAAGGGTTTGACATGCAGAGTGTAGGATTGTGTACCAGTATGGGCTCTAAGCAACACAACGAATACATGATGCAGTTTAGGGTTTAGGCATTAGGTGTTTAGGCAGCCTATGCGATGTCAGAGACAAAGATGCATGACTGTTTGTGGAGGTTCATGGGAATCAGCAGGTGCTTCTCACAGGGGAATAATCGTGTTGATATACCTATAAGGTCCTTGCCTGATGAGGGGTGGGGCTTTTTGGTCCGAATCGTGGGTGGTTTGAGTTGCCAAAGCCCTCTTGTTCTCTTGAGGTTTCTACGTCGGAAAAATGCTCTGGCATCTGACATACTTTCATATGTGTGCAAAAACCGGCAGAATCCTAACTTTGTCTGTGTGTACATATACATATATATATATACATATGGATTGCCAGAGGGAGGATTCCTGCTAGTTCCCAAATTAATAAATACACTTCACACGGTAGTTGTCAAACATGTGTGCCCCCAACGTAAGCTTGCTGTTTGGTCAGGACTTGCTGTTTCAAGGAATTGTCTTGCCATTAGCCCCTCCTTTCAAAGGGTCTTGAAAGCAACTCCCACATGTCCAAGGTGCTGTCTGTCTGGCCACCTCTACTAGCCCAATGTTACCCCAAGATTACCTCAATACTACCCTAATACTGCCCAATATTACCCTAACATTACCCCAATATTGCCCTAAACCATCCTAAACCCTAAACCCTAAACCCCTAAACCCTAAACCTTAACCCAATATTCCAAGTGGCCAAACCTTTACTTGGAGCTGCATCGGTCTTAGAAGCATTGGATTGACTGGGAGAGTCGAAGTAGGGTTATAGGATTTAGGGGTCTAGGGTTAGGGTGGATTAAGGGTTTCGGGTGTAGGAGTTAGGGTTTAGGGTTTAGGGTTTAGGGCTTAAGGTTAGTTATAAGCAATTCCTAGGTACCGTGAGCCCCCAGTTCAACCCCGAGCCCCAAACCGATCTTGTCCGACTGCCGTGCCTGAAGGCTATAAAGCTGTTTTTCCTCAGGCTCCAAGAGAATTAGGGCTTAAGGGTTTAGGGGTATATATATATATATATATTTGGAGGAATTTGGGTCCCAAATTCTGAACAATCCTAAACCCTGTGAACCCCCTAAGCGTAAAGCCTGCCTACAATCCTAATCAGTGCCATGGCAGTTCTACTCCGTAAACCCTAAACCCTAAACCCTAAATCCAAAACCTGAAACCCTTCCCCCACATCTTTTCTCCTGCGTGCCGCTCAGAGCCTTAGTCATCACAAAATCACACTCGGAGCCTCCGGAGGGACCCTTGATGGCCACCCATGTGAGCAGGTGGTTGAACCTAGTAATATAGGGATAATGAAAAAGAAAATGGAAACTACTATATTATAATAGGGTATATGTTGGGGTTATATGAAGTAAAGTTTTTTGGGTGGTTGAACCTAGTAGGATTATATTCCTTATATAGAATACTATACCCCAAAAGGAAGATAGAATCTTACACTATAATGGGTACCATAGTATCCCCAAATATTACACATGTGGCTCATAGGAGATATAGCATGGGGACGGCTTCATAATATGGGAGGGTACATAAGGACTGTATAAGGGTGGTAGCAGGGTAGAGCAACCAGTAATATGGGAGGTTATATAGTCATTGTATAAGGGTGGTAGCAGGGTAGAGCAACCAATAATATGGGAGGGTACATAAGAACTGTATAAGCGTGGTAACAGGGTAGAGCCAGTAGATTTGCTACATGATCCTCGCATGCATAAGCTTAGGTAACGTCGGGGCATGGGGCTTACGAGGAGATTGTCAGGGGTGCCCTTCTCCCTGCCACATCAGATGCTACACGCTACTCAGTTGAGCTCCCGAATCTTCCACAAGCCGTCATCCAGGTAATGGACCTTGTCAATGCAGATGCCTGCCCGCAAAAGAAGATGCGGATTTTTGAGTTTGGGTCCATGAGGTTGGTGGTCTGTCCAAAAACCCCTCCCTATAATATCAACTCCCCCCCCCACCCCTAGAATTAAACAGTCCCAATACACTCTGATATGCCACAATGGGGGGTATTTCACATTACGGGGTGGTGGGCGGGTTTAATATTGGGGGAGGGGATTATGTTCTCTACAAAACCTAACATTGCCACTACATACAGAAAGAGCATAGCAATGCATCCTCTTGGAGAGGTAGAGGCCCGCCAACCTAAACCCTAAACCCTAAACCCGCGTACCAACCTATATGCCCCAAGCCCGCTGGACTCTCACCCTAAGGGTCCCAGGACCCAAACAATAGGGTTAAGGGTTAGGGTTTAGGGTATATGCGGCTTGCCCAAAATTATGAGACAATTTTGGGGGTCGCCAGAATAAGGACTGTAGGAATTGGTGGTCTATGCTGGGGTCGCCCTACTCTGGGAAAGTACAATATGGGTTGACGATTGTGCGTGACAAGCTGTAAGATAGAAAACTCAAGTTGCCCTCCAGCAGTAGCTAGCTCTCCCCTAAACCCTAAACCCTGAACCCTAAACCGTATAACTCTCCGTGGCCCGTAGCCCAGAAGTTGAACAGCGACACAGTACCTCAAGTAACATGCAGTCCCCAAAAGGGGGTACCTTGAATGAGGTTTGGGATTCTAGAGTTTACGGTTTTTCGGGTACTTGAAGGAGGTTTTCCTGCTCAAGGTTAAGGATGTTAGGGTTGAGGGGTCCCTTGAATAATTAAGCTTTGGAGTTGTTGGGTTTAGGGTTTTAGGGTTTAGGGCTTTGGGGTTCAGGTTTCTGCTTTCTGTTTAGTGTCCTGCTTTTTTTATTGAGGGGAAGGAGGCATTTCGACACTGCCCATCTGTTTACAAAACCTTCCTAAAGTGTAAACCCTAAACCGCACTAAAGAACAGTTCCAGGTGGGTGGCTACCGGGTAAATACCCCTAAGGGTCCCAGGACCCAATCATAGGGTTTTGGGACCCAAATACTTTCGTATGAATGGTATTTGAACCCTAAAGCCCTATTATTTGG